AACTTTTTCTTCAATTTGTCCAACTTTATTTTCAACTGTGTCAATTCTGCCTTCCATAGCTTCAAATTTATTTTCGATTATGCAGGTAATTTCTCTTTTCATTTCTTCTTGACCAGCTTGAACGGCTTTCATTTCGTCCTTAACGGATTCCTGGCCCAATTTCATTTCTTCTTTAAATGAGGCAAAGGCTGATATTAAATGCCTTAATTGCTCTTCCATCGCTCTTGTTATTGGCATTCAATTAAATAGAGAGACTTCTGACACTTCTGACACCAAAAATTGTTGCGTGCGTACGGGTTCGTTATGAAGTGAATGCACAAGTCCGATGAAAAATGAACAAAACTTTTTATTATCACAACAAAAATGCTTAAATTTTCTCAAATTATCATGCAGTATTACAATATCTCACAGTAGTTATCTTTTAACTACTCAAATGTACAATAGAACGTAATTCAAAACAGCTAAAGAACGCTAATCCGCGAATTCGCTATAATCAACAACAGCAGTTTTCTAAACAACAGCAAAGCAACTACTACAAACTGAGATGTTTTCCTCCTTTTATAAGATTTTAAAATCACGCGCTAGAATTTTCCAGTACTTTCTCGAAATCAAAAAGAGATATTTATTTATTTAATGCACGCGCTCTTGTATTTCAATTTTCCGGCTTAGCTTTCTTTTAATATTCGTCACGCGCTGCACTGCGCGAGAAATAAAACCATTTAATTTATAATTAAAACTAACATTAGCTTTTTAAATACCAAATTCGTAACACTACATAAACTATAAAATTTGTAATTTTACCTCTTGTGTTTATCATCGTCTGGCTTGAAAATAAAGTAGAATGGTGTTAACGAAATTTTTATAATACATGTCTCTCTATTCCTTTCATTTTAAGTTTAGAGAAACCTTTCTAAAATTCTCGAACTCTTACGTTAAGCTGCCGTACATTTACCAACAACACATCTTGGCAAGTGCCGTCATCACGCGAAACATAAAACGTTACAGTTTTCTTCTATGTTGCCTGGCAAATAATCATATACCAAAGCATTATCATTCGATGGGAGATGAGATCTATAATTCATCCTTCAAAGTATATCAGCTTGATCAGCTAAGCGATTTAAAATCAAAACATGCCCTTTTTTAGAATTTAAATACCGTGAACTCTCTTTAAAAAAATACATTTACGTTTCCATATGATTTTGGTCTTCTTTCGAAGTTTTCGTTTTACAGAAGAGATATTTATTCATGTTTTCGTAAATATACTTCCAGACGTGGTGATCATAACTGAGCTCTCTCTATTTAATTTAAGATAAATCTCATTAATATAATTTAATTTATAAAACATCTGACTAATTGTGTGTATGAAAATGTGAGGATGCTTCTAATGCCATGCATTATGAACCTCGGTGTAGAATCATTTGAATTAGTTTTATTTAAAAGGTAAGATATGTACTTTCTCATATCTGGATCGTTTTTTATTGACACTATTTTACACTCCGGGAAAAATGATACAAAGGCCTGAGTTCTTAAAACTGAAACTATTTTCTAATCGAATTTTAAATTTATTCAAGAGTATAGTTAACGTTATGAGCAACTATTATTTTTGTTTAAAACAAGAATTGAAATATTTATATGTTATATATATATACTATGGTTGCAGACATATACTTCCCATTACAAAAATATTTTAAATCACGTAAACGTTCGTGCCATGGCATTTTAATTTTTTTTTTTTTTTTTTTTTTTTTCCCTGAAGAGATCAGTTTTGTAAAAATTAAGAAGTCCAACTTTTTGTATGTTTTTCTGGTCTTTATGCCTTATATTTTGTAAAAATTTATGTTCGTTATGTAAAAATAAAATACAAAACGTTTGACTCCAATACGATAAAAATTGATCGATATATTTAATTTTAAAGTTGGAAATTATACCTAGCGGCCTTACTAAATTAAAGAGTCCACGTTATAAGGTATTTCTCCCGCCTGCTTAGCGTGCCTTCGTGGTGTAGTGGTTCTGCACGCTCGGCCGGTATTTCAGAGGTCCGTGGTTCGATTCCCAGCGAAGGCGGTTGCTAATTTTTCATCTCTCTGGCTCCAAAAAAAATCCCCTAATGTCTCTACGAAGTCGCCCGAACTAAAAGGGGTTGGATGATGATTCTCCTCACCCAGGATTTGGCGATTGGGTCCCCTAAAAAAACCCCAGTCGCCCTTTAAAAGGGGGGAGTATATAAGGTATTTCTCCCGCCTTCTTAGCGTGCCTTCGTGGTGTAATGGTTCTGCACACTGGGCCGGTATTCCAGAGGTCGGTTCAATTCCCGGCGAAGGCGTTGTTAATTTTTTATCTTTCCTGCTTCCAAAATAACTAATGTCTCTACAACGTAACTAAACGTAAAATAACAGTTTAGAAAAAGATTTTTTATGTTAGGTTATGAGCATTTCAATGTAGACTGTTATGAAAAAGCTTGATTAATGTATGTAGGATGACGTCTTTCACAGCGGTAGATGGCATGAACGAAGCCGAGAGAGAACAGACGATGATGAAATGACGCTACATAGAAAAAGACGTGCGAGTAAGAATGATATGAAGACGATCTGTTTCACGGGGAAATGGTGTACCTGGGTCGAATGCCCTACCCCTATCGAACAAAATTTTAAAAAAATACTAATTATGTGAGCATTAACACAAAGAGAAATTCTAAATTATAAAAGAAAAGCTATATGAAGAGATGTAAGTAACAAGCTACAGAATAAATTTTGTCACAAATAACAAATTATTAACAAATGTAAATCGTTATACTATAATAAAAAAAGGTAATAAAGTTAAGCAAGATATTAAAATTAAATTATTAATAACAAGTTCATATGAGATAAGAATTTAAAAGGTGTAGTGAAACAGAGTCGACTAATGGCGGGAAGCATCTGGTGAAAGTTTTTCGAGTCGGTGATAAATATCCTAAAAGGGAGAAATACAGCAATTGGAAGAATAAACAAGGAATAAGTGTAACTCCTTCGGTGAAAAATTTAAAAGGGGAAAAGAATAAAAAAGGTAAGTGAATAATGGATATAAGTTTGAGCAATTTGAAATATTAAATTGACACTGGTCCTGTCAAACAAAATACAAAATATGGTAACAAGATACAAAATATGTGCATATATGAGAGGAGATACATACATAATGCAATAAGCATAGTTACAATATATAATTATAAATGCTGAATAATAATGCAGGTAACAGTAAGAAAATATCAATCAATATTTACATTAAGTATGGATGAAGATAATGAACTTAACAATGTAACAAGTTTTTTATAACAACTGTGCGTGTTAATATGCGTTAATATTTCCTTCGTGTTAATAGTTCATCAACATATGACCAATCATCATCAAATATAAATTCGATCACCGTGTTATGCGTTTTTCCTCTCGAAAACCGTTAAGAGTTAAGCCTTATTCTACGACGGATTCGCGTAGAATTAGCGATTTAGCATTAGAATTAGAATTAGAATTTAGCGATGTTCTATTCTAGATTCGTGTTAAAGATTTGCGTTCTAGAAAACACTAGCTGACATCAGTATCGGCCCATAGTGAAAGCGAACTCGTAACGTTATTCGCATGAACTATAAATTTAAAATAATGCTCTTTTAATGAATTCTTTGCATAACTGATGTGGTTTTAACATAATAAAGCTTCATGAGAATATAAATAATGCATTCTTTAGCATTTGAAAGTTTACAAATTACTTGTATGAAAAATATTTCGGCATATAAGTTATAAAAATTACGAATTAATGAACGCTATACACTAGTTCATCACAAAAGAATAGTTGAAATTTAAGGGAAAAGAATTTATCTCGATTGATTCTTATTTATTTAGTTACCGACCCATAAGACAAGTTGGAAATATAGATAAATATCTAATTTTAAGATAATTATATCTATACGTAATTATATTTATAATTAAACGATAATAAGATTAAAATAAAGATATCCGAAAGTTTGAAATTAAATGTCTCCGTCAATTTTTTGGCATACGGGAGACAATTTTTTTTTTTTTTTTTTTTTTTGTCTTTTTTTATTACATGGGTATAAAATTTTCGCAAGTTTAAAACTATTTGCAGCAGAGGAACGTATAAACAGTTAGATTTCCTAGTTTTCATAAAACTGATTTTTAAAAATTAAAAAATGCAAAAATATGAATATTTGTGTAATTTAAAATATTGTTTATGATTGAAAGTATATGTCTACAACCAACGAAAACAAAGACCAAATAAGGACTTTTGTACACGATGCATGTAAATATTTAGAAAACATGTAAATATTTCATTTTCTTTCTTAAATAAAAATAATACATACAGTTCCAAAACTCGTGAAACTAGTTTCCTGAGTATAATTAAAACTGGACTACAAACGAATTTAAAATTTAAAAATACAAGTTTTCGCATTTTTTTCTTGGAACGTTAAACGATATAAGCAGGAATATACAAAAATATTAAAATAACATATTGCCGTTTGAGCCACTCACTCATAAACACACGTATATATGTATAGATTATAGATATATTATACTGAAGGCTGTCCTTTCTATATATATGTGTGTGTGTAAAGACGAGAACAAGATGCAGAAAAGCGTAGAGTGGTAGATTTTGCGATCGATGAATTATAGGATATTGGAAATGTATTTTATTTATGACAGTTACGGTACAAAGATCTTATCCATCGTTGACTGGCAAAAACGTCTATTTTATTATTTTATAGCAAACTGAAAATAAGATATTTAAAGCTATGTAAAATTTACAAGATATTTAAAATTTGTTGATGAAATTTAAACATGTTTATTTTGGGTTACGCTCACTCCTATCCTTATTTAGAAAGTGTGAAAATGATCTCGTTTAACGCTTTATGTCCTAGGAACCCATGTGTTTACGTTACACATGGGTTCTACATGTTAGCGATGTAATACTGTAATTAGGAAAGTCAAAGATCATTAGTACAGAATTTTACTTACTTGACTTTCATTCAAAAGTGGCAAAAGTAGGAAAAAGCAAACGATGTATGGCACTAAATGTCCAACTAATCGGGTGCGGAGCGGCATGATTCGGCCGCAACGAGATATACATACCAGTCATCTCAACGATTGAAGAATTTCTCCTCGTTTTGCTATCGAGATATTCGCTGTCGTTTCGCACACCTGCCTACGACCAGATGTTGTCTAAACAAATATATCTTAAAAGAGCGCAAGAGGGAAAACAATTTGAAGAAGATTCTCGAACACGCTTTTTAAATCAGTCAAAGTTTGTAGGTAAATAAAAGCTCGTTAGACACTTTATATTAACGGGAAGCATTATAGCGCATTTGTTTTTTATTCATCTGTTGTCTAACACACTCTTTAAATATATGACTGAATCCAAAAATTGGCATACTGGCTAAATAAAAATCATTTTACAGTTTTTCAAATTAATAAAAAAGGAGAACAGTAATTTTTTCATTTATCCTGCACTGTAAAAAAAAAATCTGTAAAGTTACTAAGAAAAGTCGTGGAAACTGGGATGCCATGGATTATTTGAGTAATCAAAACAGGAATATTCTTAGTAACTTTACAGAGATTATACCTGTAATGGTTACAGATGTTTGACATGTAATGAATGTTACAGGAAGTTATTCTGTAGGCATAACAACGTTTTTGTATGTTGATTACCGAAGCATATGTCTGTAAAGGTTACAGATCAAAGATCTGTAATGTTACAGGAAATTATCGTGTAAGTATAACATGGTTTTCATATGTGATTTACCAATGTAAACATCTGTAAAGATTACAGGAAATAATAGTGTAAGTAGATCGTAATTTTTGAATGTGAATTACTAAAGGGAATATTTGTAGATTACTAGTGTTCTGCTTGTAAGGTTATTGCAAGTGATTGTGTAAGAATATGTATTTTCATGTGAAATTTTAAAGGATATATATGTAAAAGTTGCAGATAATTTACTTAAAAGTTCTTCCAAATAATTATGCATAAAGAACATATTTGTCTTATACAAAATACAAAATGATGTATTCTCAAATATTAAATATTTTGATTGTAATATTACTAAAAATAATTACACATGTAGAACATATGTTTTATGTGAAATGTCTACAGCTACTGCTTGTAACAAAATATGCTGCATTTATTTATTTGTGGGGAAAGGGAAGTTATGTAACTTTAAATATTATTAAGTTTTTTTTTAAGGAAAAATACCTTAGATTTTCTAAAAGATATACATTTTCTTTCAAAATATTCCCAATGTTAAAAAGAAGCTCAAATTTTATATTTTTTCTTATATCTGCATTACTTTCCTTTATTGAATTTTAAGACATCTCAAAGTTACATATGCATCATGAAATAGCTGGAAAAAAAACTTGTGTATTAGACTTAATGGTTTTTTGGCAATAAATTAGTAATGTTCTAGAATTCCTCCGCTGAACACTGGTAGTTCGGTCCGAGGTTCAAATCCCGCGAATGGGCTGGTTGTATGGGTATTTTCATGGTTTTCTCCATGTGTAACATGTATATAAGTCAGTTTCCCTTCGAAAGTCCTCCACAAAGGCATTTCTCCGCTTAGGCAGATAGTCCTAGTGTGCTTTGCCATACTTAAGTAAACTAAACCAAATCATTCTACCTTATACCCAACAGTGTAATCTAAAGAGACTGCAATTGGATATGATTACAGTAAAAAAATATTTTAATGAAATTGTTTCAGTAAACAATTCTAGATATTTTTTCAAATTCTAAAAAAAAATTACAGATGTAAACAATGAACTTAAATTCAGTTATCACAAGCTATCCAAAATTATTTTCATGCTTAATTGCATTATTCTTTTAAATTGCAACATATAATTTTTTTAGGCATAATTGCTTTTTAATCTCTTCTGCTACTGACCATTAATTGAAATAATAGATTAATTAATCGAAGTACATAGTGACAGCTACAGGCATTTTGCCCAGATTTAAAACTTAATTAATAAATTACATTCCTTCTCATTGAATACAAAATTGCAGAATTAGTTAGTCCTAAATTTAATTTTTCAAGTATTCCTTCTACTAAAACATTTATTGCAGTACAGGCAGCCAGACAGTAAGCTGAACATTAGCATTTGGCTCTAGATTCAAATCCTAGAGAATGGGCTGCCTGTGTAAATGCTTGTGTAACATGAATATAAACCAGTTACAGTTTACCTTAAAATATTCCTTTTACCTTGGACAGATGGCCCTCTCTTGCTTTGTCATATTTCAAATAATCAATTCAAGCATTTAATGTAGTATGACTTCACAACTTCGTCCCAAATTCTAACTGAAAAATTGAACAGAATCCCTGATACTGTGTCTATATAATACATGATGAATATAGAATGATCTTAAAAATTTATAAGAAGAAAATAACGTATTTGGAAATGCCTTGATCCTATAATTATATTTTTCTCTGCTATGCCTAGAAAATTAAGAAAAGTAGACTTAAGAATGTAAAAACTGAAGATAAAAGAATTCAGCATTAATAATTGATATGATAGTAGTAATAAACTAAAATTTTTAATGAAAAATTGATAATGCATAATGGCTCCTTAAAAATTTTAATTTTCTATCCTACTATTAATGGAACTAATTTATCACTATAATCAAAATGACTCAGATTTTCTTTCTTTAACTGATGTCAAAAAATACGATGATTATTTCAAAATTCCTGTGGATGATTTAATTTGTTCTCAAAATTTTCTATTCATTTATTAAATGCTTCAGATTAATGTTTTTGTTATCATTATTTCAAACGACTTTTTAAATCTTCGGGAAAAATGTTTAAATCTTCATTCAACAAAATTATATTTTTAGATAGATTTTTATGGAATAAAAAATTCTGTAAGATAATATTCATTCACACAAGATATTAACTTAGTATTTGCTCATTACTTTACAAGTATTCGATGAAGCCAAGATATTAACTTAGTATTTTCTCATTACTTTACAAGTATTCGATGAAGCCTTTTAGTGTAATATACAGGTTACATAAGGAACCATTTCATTTTAATGTAATATTCCATAATCATATATTTTATTTAAAAAAATATCATATTTTGAAAATATTGGATATTGCAATGCATTTCACTCCTAACATATACAGCTAGCGTGAAGATCTATAATTAACAGTCAATATAATTCATAATAATGAATTTCGTTATGCATAACTACATCTTGCAAGATTAGATTTAGTTGACAAAAACTATTAAAGATAAAAGATCTATTTGGTTCCACAATTTAATGCAGAAATGAAAATACTTTTAATATCATATATTAGTGGTTCTCAACATTTTACCTTTGCTAGATCATGCCTCTCCTCCTTACCAACTTGAAAATAGATATACACTTATTTTTGATTTTATTATATTTTACGTTTTTATAAATTAAGAAAAAGGTATGGAAAATGTGATATATACAAAACAGATCTTATATTTAAAATACACAGAAAAAAATGACTTATGCTACAATAAATCTTATTGTAGATCTTGAAAATTGTACACTCTGTGAAAAATTAATGTGACAAACAAAAATTGGTTTAATTTTGCGCACAATTCTTTTGCATACATATCAGTGAACACTGGGGGGGGGAATTCCAATTATAGAAACAAAAATTATGTCCAAAAGGAAATTAAAAAAATATTTTTTATTGATTATTAACTAGGTTGTGAAGAAGCAGTCCTCTTCTTCTTAGGATTCAAAGCATGGCTCCTAAATAAATAAAAAAAATAACATTCTTTAGAAGTACATGATAACATATTCTAAATTTGTTATGTGACATTTCAATTCAGAATCTCTTCATAATAATTGCATGCACTTGCACATATTCCAAAATGATTTAAATCTTTTTTTAAATTAAATAATTAAATTGCAAACAAGATTCCTTTGGTCCTTTCATGAAATCATAAATTGCATGTATCATCCATTTTTGAAGCAAAAACAGTACAAATTTAAATAATTCATTTTGCAGAAAATATTTGAGGTTTATTAGATATTTACTATATTTATTTGTAATATAAAATAAATCTGTAAAGTAGTTTTTAATAATGATCAGATTTTTTTTAAGATTAATTTCTCTAGAAATTGAAATGTATTAAGGTAGCACTTCTCAATCTGTGGATCATACAGCTTGCCCTCATGGTCCTCCGAAGTTTCCAAAGGAGACAAAAAAAATTTAGTTGAAAAATCTCAGAGTTTAAAAAGTTACATATGACAATCATCTATCACCTTTTCTCGTAAGATAGACATTTTATGAAATTTATTATTGGTTACCCTACTTACAGACTTCCCACTCAGTCTTAGCAGTAAAAGATGGATTTTTAAAGCACTATAACTGTGGTACTTACCACCATATATCCAAATATACTATCATATATCCACTAAGACTGTGGTCTTACCATCATATATCCAAATATAGAAGAGCCATGCAAGAATTACAAATCATCCTTCTCATTAATAATCTTGAAATATTAGAAATATAACTTTTCTTCAATGGACTTAATTATGAAATATAACGGATTTTAATTATATATTAAAAATATAAGTGTACTAGTAGTAATATATGCTAAAAAATTGCTTCGAAGGGAACAGCAGCAAGGTGATTCACAAATTATGATAATTCACATAATCTCTATTCGAAAAAAGTTTGAGCAGGGTTGCCACTCAAACAGGAGAATGAAATTCCCTGACTTTTCCAGGTTTTCCAGGTGTGTTTCAAGAAAATTCCAGTCTATCCGCGTAATGTACGTTGGCTGTGCTAAGAGGTAAATTAATTATGGTATTACTTGTATGTGTAGCAAATTCACTTAATTATTCAATAAATCCCAGAGGACATTTATTCTTAATTATTCTTGGTATACTTTGTTTGATAATTTTGTTTACTTTTCCACTTAAAAACTTAATAAAATTTAAGATATATACATTGGATAACAAATGTATGTTTTATTTAATTATTACTCATGATCATCACCAGTTCAACACGAGGCTAATCCGGTTCCTTATAAATCACAACGCAATGCTAAATAGTTAGGTTAGATTTTAGGTAAATTTAATTTGTGTGAGGTATGTTCTTAAAAGGCACCTTAACACTTGAAAACACAAATATAATTATA